CTTGCTATATCAAATACACTTGTTTTTACATAATCTACATTATCTCATTGCAAATATCAGGGTGGTTTTTATAAGCATTTTCTTAAGAATAATCACAGGGAAAACTGAAATTATACTAATTCCTAGATTTGGTTTTGCTTTCCATATCACCATGAACAATAACTTTATTCAAACTTTATATTCATAACACTCTATTTCCAACTTCTTGAGAGATAAATTGCTTTGAATTAGAAGAAACCTATGTTTTTAAACTTTTATTTTATGTTCCATACAATGATTAGATGTGAAATACAAGAATAATTATAATGATAATAAAGTTTTAAATCCAACTCATAGGTTCACTGAATATATTATCGCATGAAACATAATAGATTAAAATGAGGATGACAGGACATATTAAAGAACAAACTATTTCCCACCCCTTTCATGTTTTCTATTCCTATTTAAATTAAGCTAATATTTCAGACTTGTTTTTACTAGGAGCCAAACAAAAATGATGACATGTAATTAATTATACACAGGAGCAATACAACTGATGAAAATTTTCTAGCAGGCTTTATTACCATCCATCAAATCTTATTGATCCATATCATTGAATGCATTTTCAAGTTAAACTTCTAGTAAAAGCATTGGTATTTTCTTCCTCCTAACTAAGACTATGTTTGAATTGTTTTGGTAATAAGAAAAACCATTTCATACAGAAGAAGTACACTGTTTATATTTTCTGTTTTTAACAGTTTTCAAAATGTTCCCTATCAAAGCTAGTGAAGGCATGATTATTTCTTTTATTTAATGTTTGCAAACAGACAACAAGAAAGGGCTATATTTTGGCTTCTTCATGCCTCACAGCAGTATACCAAGTATTTTTAAAAGTATCCTGAGACCACGTTTTGTACATCAGAGATGGGTAAGAATTATTTAAAAATTATCTTTATCGCATTGTATACATGAGTCAGAAATATCCTTTTTCTGACTCTGCTACTAATATTTCTGATTTTATAAAATAGAGAAATTTTTTTCAAAAAAGCTTTTCTGACATAAGGAGTAATGATTTTTCTAAGCTTGTATGTATTTCTTGCTTNAAAAGCATTTTATCATTAATAGCAAGTCTTTGGGCTCAAAAGTCAAATTAGTATTTACACATAATGGAACAACAGAAACACAGATTGGCTTGAAAAAGATCTCTGAAGAATTCCATGGTAAAAAATTTGATTTGCCAAGAAAACTTGACTCAATGTGCCCTTAGCTGCAGTCAAGATCAATTCAGGGAAGATTTTACTTCTTTAAATAAAGCTTAAACTTTTAAACCTGCCATAACAATGGACTTCTAAAGATCAATTTGGACAAACAAACAATTTCCCTTCTTTCTTTGAGAATATTATGTAACTATACAAGAAGCTATTCTTCCCGACATTGGAAACAATTTCTTCATGCTTAAAATTTAATATAACTGGTTTCAGTTATACAATAAATTACCATACAAATAGATTTCTTTCTCACCTTTTTCCTCACTACTCCCAAAAGGGGGAAATGCATATGAGAAGTTGGATAGCAGGGGGCAGTTTGGCTGAAAAATATGCAGGTAATTATAACCTAGGAACAAAAACTTCCAATTACCTTCCCACGTTCTCCCAAAAGAGAGGGATATGGAACGTGAAAACCTCACCATTTGATCTCATGATGATAGCAACAGTTTACTGTGATGCCTGAAGCAGTTTAACAGCCGTATGAATTTTGATATTAAGAATATGAAAATGTAATGCCAAACTAAGAATAACAGAACTTTAAATTGAAATGTACCAAACAACTGAAAGCCAAACATGTACAAATCTCAGCTTTGTTAATGTAATTACATTGGAGAGAGAGGTGGAAAATTGACATGTCACTGAATAGGCAAAGAGAAAAGGTAGAACATGAGATGCAGTTTTATAGTATCAAACATAAAGGCAACTCTAATTACACTGTAGAAGGAAAATTGAGAAAAATACATTGCCACCAATGGTAAAACACAAAAAAATAAAGACCACACAAATAGGAAATAAGTCTGTTACTAAGAATAAACTTTTAGAAACTTAATTAGGATCCAGAAATTGGAATTATACTTAAAACAATTCTATCAGCTTTAAAATTAGGGAACAGGTAACTTTAAATTATTTTTACTTGTACAAACACAAAATATTTGTAAAAATATAGTTTTTCACTATAAAGAGTAATGTCTTACAAGCTGTGAGCAAATTATTTTTCACTCCTTACTATGTTATTACCCTATTCTGCATTATTGGTATCCTACAACAATGGATCTATTCAGTTACTTGTTCCTTAAAGACAGTCTGTAGCACCAAATTTGTCAATTTTTTGCTTTCTTTTTGTAATATTCTTTTATCTGACTAACTGAAGTAAGCAATCTTCTTAGTTGCACAAAAGTTGCATCTTTACAGCCATAGTTTCCTCGTTATAGTTTTATCTGACACCATAAAAAGCAGACCATATTAGAGGAACAAAAAGGTATCAAAGAAACAGTAAGTCCAAATGGTATTTAAGTAGCCCCCAAATAGAAATTTACATTATTCTGAGTGTATAAACAGTAGTACTGATCCAAATAGATCTGCAAAGCTATAGGAATTTTATAGAGCTATTAAATAATATGATGTCTAGAAAACCACTCCCAACATGGCATTTTATTTCTCCTTCTTTTTGTACTTAAAACATGTAACTAAAAGAATGCATGTATATATACAAAGACTGTAAGAACAAGGACATTCACAATTTTGAAATTAGACTGAGGCTCAAATTAGATCAAGGATTACATATAAANGTATTGCTTATTTGTTTTAATCCTTTTATTATAATTTCCTCATTTGTGACTTCTGGCTATTTACTGGCTTCTGTTTGTGTAACCCGACTGCAGGTAAAAACTGTTGCAGCTGACAGATTAGTAAGATTAGATCAAAAGACAGATTAGATAAAGTATGGTAATTTGGTTACTAGGCAACAGATTGTTCAATATTGGAAATTCCCTATCCACGTGATAATTTATTTGATAAATGATCAAGTTATAGATATGACAGTCCCATGGCTTCTCATTTAAAGAGTCTTATATTTAACTTCACCATTAATAAAAATTAAAGATTTGGGTATTTTTAAAGAAAAGAAACAAAGGTTGATTTCAGAATAATTTTTTTCACAATAAAAGAAATTGGCTGCTTCAAGAAGGGACAGATGCAGAATCAAGGATAATTATAACTAAGAAAGTTCAGTTCAACTCATATTACATATGGATTTAGTTACCTATCTGCTAGGAAATGAATATCACAGATGACACTGCTAGCTATTCATTCTTCTATCATGTCCTCTCAGATCATTTTTAAATTAGTAAATAAAGGCAATGGAACAAGGTGGATTAATCTAAATATGAAGTATTTGAAGTACATCAAGACACTTTTACTGTCCAAATGAGAATAATTAATTAACTGTGCATCATTTAGCTACATTTTGAAAGATAAAATGTTTACCTAAATTTATAAGAATCTGAGTCTCTAAAAGATAATTATGCATGGGAAATTAATTCCCCTTGGTGTAGAATCAATGTAATACACGTGTTTAGTGCTGATGCCTGTGTATTCTGTTTTAAAACTAAATGGCACTCATTTAAGCAGAAGCAGAAGAATATTTCATTTTATAAATTAATTCTAAAGTGATACTAAAAAAGAATTTCCAGAATGTTAGAAATGGGTAACGTATGTCTGAATACCTGCAAAGCCAACACCAGATTCATATCACTGGCACCAGCCCCCTTTTTAAATGAATAAATGGTCAGCAAAAATTTTATGTTATCGATGAAATCGCTCTGAGAATTACCCAGATAGTTTGTCATATTAAGACTATATTAATATAACAGTTTCATCATAATGAACTTATCTAATGTTATTAAATTACCAACTTAAGCTTTTGTGACATAGATATATTGATACATGTTAAAAACCTCTAGCAATTATTGTGGCTATCATGCCAAATGCAATGTTACTGTGATCCAGTGAAACTATTTTAAACTATCTATAATCCAACCAAATCATGTTAACCACTCAATGATAAAGAATCATAAAATATTAAATATGTTTCTTACAAAATTAGGATGATTTCAGTACCACACAATGTGTTTTCATTTACATTAAACACCCCAGGAAATGTTCAAAAAGAATTAAACTTAAGCATAGAGTTTAAGCTTTATTATGCTATAACCACAGGTTTGCCCATTATTTTTCTCTTTTGATTTATTATTACTAAGTTTGTTCACATGGAGTAGGGGTTAAAGATATTGATTTGATATTGTATTAATGAATATTAAATAGAGAAATGTAGTTAATAAAAGTTATCCATTCTCTCCAAGAAGTGCAAGGGACTTTTTTACATAAAATTTGCCCTAAGCCTGAGAACTATAGGTTTCTATTCCATCAACTTCATTTGTATCACACCATGCATGAAAGAACTTAGCCTTCTTCCAAAGCACCAGTAAAATGCTGTACTCCAACCACAAGGAAGGCTGTACTACCAAGGCCTTTGAGGCTGAGGCAAACAGAAATTAAGAGGATCACAAAAGTATTGACCTACACATTTGATCATTTTTGATTCCTTACAAACAAAGAATGGGAAGAGAATTGATCCAGACTTTAATATGTTTTGGCATTATGTATTATTTCATGTCAGAAAGAAAGCAGACTTTTGTATTATATATTTTGAAGCATAATTTTGAAAATATAAAAGTTGAATGTATGGAACTTTTTCTAGATATTTAAGATAAATAATTCTTGAAGTAGAACTTTAATATATGCAACATCTTTTTACATCACAGCAACAAAATAGTTTTATATAAAGAAAAGCTACAGAGGAGCCCATTTAGCAGTGAAAAGTTATCACCTCACAAATAGTAACAAAATTAAATTCAATGTATGAGCTTTTCATAAACATTAGATTTAAATTAAGATTTTATCATTTATACTCACAGTTGACACTGGTCTCCTTTGATTCCTTTGGTTGTGCAGAAGCATTTTCCTGTTTGCATGTGACAAATATTTGCATGACCACTGCATGTGCAAGCTATAAAATCAGAAAGGATTTAATGATTATATTACATTTTTAATACAATACATTGTATATCAAGACTATATATCCATAAATGTATATTTTTGACTGTGCAGCGTTACAAGATTGTGATTTGTGACCTTCCCACAAGCAATAACAATGGGGAAACTGAAACTGAAACTGAAAGGAAATTGAAAGTCACATTCACATGTGCTCGCTTAAGGACCCATGTGGTCCTTGTTTAATGACAGCAACCAGTACACTGTCACATGACATCATACATTACAGCTGCAGTGCTTACCAATGGAAATTCCAGTCCAATTACCACCATTATATTTGTTGTTCAGTTATTAAGTCGTATTTTACTCTTCATGATGGAATGACAAAAGCCTTTGTATAATAACGATAACTGGGCTGGAATTTCCATCACCAAGCATTGCAGCTGTAATGTTTGATGTCATGTAAAAGCACCATTTAGGGATAGCAGATACTGGTTGCTGTCAAGTCATTAAACAAGGACATCATAATTTAAATGCCACCTTACAATTTTTAGAATAAGTTATTTTCCTTCCATACCAACACTTATATCTCTGGTGTCCTTTGAAAGAGAGAAAATAACCTTTTTCCTGAACAGATTTGAAACTGGCAAATGTCAACTAACAATATCCTGATCATTTCCTATTTCATCACCAGGCCAAGCACACCCAAGAAAACTGCCCACAACAGTAATGTTTCATAGCAACTTCAAGCCACCTCCTATTAATAGTGCCAAGCTTAGAAAATAAAGGTTGCCGTTAGGAAAAGGCCAGAATAGCTTAAGGTATTTTATGACTTAATTCACAGCAACAGATGTATGCTATTCACTAATCCCAATTCTTCATGCAACTACATTTTAAAACTGACAATGTTATTTATCTTTATCAATGTTATTATAAGGAATAAATTATAAGTATTCAAGGATGCACCCCTTTTCTCTAAAGTAACACTATTACAGCTACTCATCCAAAACTCTGAAGTATTTTCTGTAAAATGTACTTGAATTTTCATCCAACTTTGTTAACAAGATATATAGTATAAAAAGTTGTAATTTAAACTTAAAGCTTAATGTTTGTCATTTTAACTACAATTAATATATATTAAATGAATTAAGTGGTGTAGACATTAATTAATTATGCCCTTTTCAAAACAAGGAGATAGGATGGGAAAGGATATAAATCACTGCAATAACTGCAAAAGAGGCAAAGCATCAAGGATTTAACTGAGAATTTGACTTCTTTTAGCTAAAAAAACTCATTGCTTATACTAGAATTAATGTTCTACTGTCATTCGCGAGCAGGAAAGTCATGCCTCTTTAGCACAAATAATTCACTTTTCAACTCTTCTCTCTACTGCCTGCCTGTTGTACCATAGCCTCTTATTATTCTCAAGGCTGATGGGATATGCTGGTAGAGAATACAGAAAAATAATGGAAAACTCATTCTGTGAAGGAAGTATTCAGTAGATGTAGGGCAGATGTATATAATAAATGTAATACCCAACAGCATTAACTCATTCACAATACAGTAGTAGATGTGCTTTAAAGAAAAACCAATGACATAGAAATTTAACAATAATGCTAGGATTTTTTTCTTAAAAGTCTGAGTTGTATCATAATGAACAACATCATTTAATCAGAACAAGATAATTGAAAAAAAAGAATGCATGTGATGTCATCTTTCATTTGTAGTTTTAAAGTTGGGATTCCTCTTATTTTATTGGGTATCTAATCAAAAGAACCTTACCAGCAACTCAATTGAGAAGCAATAAAATGCTGAAATACAATTGATAAATGAACAATACAAAGGGCCAATCAAGGATTACATAATTAAATATATATTTGCTCTTTGCTGAAATTATTCTGAAATATATTGTTCTGAATAGCTAGGAAGCAAACTGAACTCAAAAATAATAATAATTTACTATTTATTTTCTCAAAGATGATAAATTAGTGTTTTAAATATCAACAAATAATAATTATAAACAGTAGCTTTTACAGGAAACTATGTTAATGGTTTGGTTATTTAAGATCAGAGATCAAAACTGTTATATGATACAAAAATACATAAACATAAATAAAACATAACCTAATTATGTTTGTAGACAAGTCAATACCTATAAATTATTATTATTTTTGAGTTCAGTTTGCTTCCTAGCTATTCAGAACAATATATTTCAGAATAATTTCAGCAAAGAGCAAATAT